ACCGAGCGGAGCAGCTGGTCGTGTGAGTGGGCTCGCAGCTGCATGTCGACGCGCAGCGCGAGGCGGCAGCCGCCCGCCGACGCGGGCGAGAAGGTCCACTCGCTGCGCATCCGCGTGAAGAGCCGCGCGTCGAGCGCCTCGGCCACAACTATCGCTGGCGACGTGCCACGCGAGAGTGTCACGCGAGATGTGTACTCCTCGGAGAGGCCGAGGTAGCCAATCCCGAGCACCGCATCGAAGCGGTCCGGCCCGTGCCTGCGCACGATGCGGCTCGCCGAGCAGAGAGGCACAAACTCCGAGTAGAGCTCGACGTCGGCCACGATGTCAAACAGGATTTCGGGAGCCCACCCGACAACCTCCTCCCGCTCGAAGCAGCGTGCGGGCGGCTTGGGCAGCCAGGAGTCGGAGGCGCCAAATATCGACCTGCGGAGGTGCAGCCGCGGCAGCATTCGGCTACGAAGCGGTCGGTGCCTCTGCAGTGCGACGCAGCCGCCCCGAAGGAAATTTTGGCCGGAGGACATCCGGAGGGCCCCGTCGTTGTCTCGCGAGAGGCGCGCCCAGAGGCCCGACAGTTGTTCACGGCCTGGGCTTCGGTCGCCGCGTCGGTGCACGGCGGTAACTAACACCAGGCTACAGGAAACCTGTTCTACTGATGTACCGTTTGCACCGTTTGCACCGTTTCTGGGCACGTTCTGCTCGCCGCCATCTGAGCTCGGGTCAGGAGGTCACCCGTGGCCGATGCCACCCGTGCAGATTCTGTCCCGTTCGATCGATGCCAAAACAACTCTCTCTCGATGCCATGAAGGTCATGCTCGCGTTTCTCAAGCGGCAAACTCATGGAGCTGGGCTCTGCCGCCGAGGCGCAGCGCGACATGGTACATGGACATGGAGCAGGGTTGCGGCCGGTCACCTCCATGAATGATCTCGCGTCGCAGCGGCTGGCGAGCGAGCACATACAACACAGGAACGAGTCGGCTCCTCGACTGCCTCCGGCGACGTCGACCGAACGCCACCTCGTGCCCGAGTCAGCGCGGCATCTCAGCGGATCTCGGCGCTGTGGCGAGATAGCTGTGTCCTCGTCGGCGCCGGGAGGGCCGTGGGGTGTTGGAGACGCGCGGGAGGGGTGGGTGGTGCTCAGGAAGGGCCCCTGGACGAGATATAAGAGGTACTACCCACTCGACGAAAAAATCTCAACACCCCGACTTGGCGCCTTCTGCTCTGTGTCGAGTGACGCTTTTCGGAGAACTGCCTGTATGTACGAGTCCGTCCGGAGACGGTCTCAAGGAAGGTGCGTGCGGCACGAAGAGGGTGTCTGCCGCGTGTCCGGTGCCTCGAACGAGCACAGCAAGTGCCTGGATCGTTCGTGAGCACGTGTACCGGCAGAAAACCCAAAGAGCTCTGCAGAGGGGCGACCGACCTCACCACACTGATGGACGCCGCCATCCACGGCCACAAGCAGTTGTTCGAGCTGCTGCTGCGGCGCGGCGCGGAGATCGACAAGCAGAACGGCAAAGGGGGCACCGCGCTGATGGGCGCCGCCCAGGAGGGCCACGAGCGGGCGGTCGAGCTGCTGCTGCAGCGTGGCGCAGAGATCAACAAGCAGAACAGCGACGGCTGCACCGCGCTGATGTTTGCCGCTGGCGAAGGCCACTCCGCCGTCGTGCTCCGCCTGCTGCGGGCGGGCGCGGATACAAGGCTGCGCTCTGCAGACAGCAAGACAGCGCTGCAGTGGGCCAAGGATAGAGGCCACGCCGCGTGCGTCAAGGCCTTCCGGCAGCACGTCGCGGAGGTGAGCCGGCGCGAGGCGGCGGCGGGCGGCGCGGCCGGCGCCTCCTCGGGCGAAGCGGCCTCTTCCGGCCTGAGCAACCTTCCTAAAGAGGCGGCGCTAGCAGCTGCGGCAGGCGGCGCGGGCGAGGCGGCAGCGGGATCGACGGCCGCGGCTTCTTCGGCCATGACAGCAGCTATCCAAGGCGACGAGACGGCGCTGCTGGCGTGGCTCGACAGCGGCGGGCAGGTCAACGCATGCGTGGTAGGCAATGGGAGCGGCGTCACCGCGCTGATGCGCGCCGCCCAGCTTGGCCACGAGCGAATGGTCGAGCTGTTGCTGCAGCGCGGCGCGGATATCAACCAGCAGAACAGCATCGGCGGCACCGCGCATATTCGCCGCCTTCAAAGGCAACGAGCGAGTGGTCGAGCTGCTGCTGCAGCACGGCGCGGAGGTCAACCTGCAGAGCAGCGACGGCGGCACCGCGCTGATAAACGCCGCCGTCCCAGGCCACGAGCGAGTGGTCGAGCTGCTGCTGCAGCACGGCGCGGAGATCAACCTGCAGAGCAGCAAAGGCAGCACCGCGTTGATGACCGCCGCCTTCTACGGCCACGAGCACGAGCGAGTGGTCGAGCTGCTGCTGCAGCGCGGCGCGGAGATCAACCTGCAGAACAGCAAAGGCGTCACCGCGCTGATGGGCGCCGCCGTGTACGGCCACGAGCGGGTGGTCGAGCTGCTGCTGCAGCGCGAGGCGAACATCAACCTGCAGAGCAGCAACGGCGACACCGCGCTGATGGAAGCCGCCGTGTACGGCCGCGAGCGGGTGGTCGAGCTGCTGCTGCAGCGCGGGGCGAACATCAACCTGCAGAGCAGCAAAGGCAGCACCGCGCTGATGTGCGCCGCCGCCCACGGCCACCCCGCCGTCGTGCTCCGCCTGCTGCGGGCGGGCACAGATGCGGCGCTGTGCTGTAAGAACGGCAAGTCCGCGCTGCAGTATGCCAAGGACAACAGCCACAGCGCATGCGTCGAGGCCTTCCGGCAGCACGTCGCGGAGGTGACTGCAGGCCAGCGCGAGGCGGTGGCAGGCGGCGCGGGCGGCGCCTCCTCGGGCGAGGCGGCAGTAGGATCGACGGCCGCGGCTTCTTCGGCCATGAGAGCAGCTGCTATCCAAGGCGACGAGATGGCGCTGCTGGCGTCGCTCGACAGCGGCGGGCAGGTCAACGCGCCTTACGTGGTAGGCAATGTGAGCGGCATCACCGCGCTATTGCTTTCCGCCGGCTGTGGACACGAGCGGGTGGTCGAGCTGCTGCTGCAGCGCCGCGCGGAGATCAACAAGCAGGACAGCCGAGGCGGCACCGCGCTGATGGTCGCCGCCCAGGAGGGCAACGAGCGGGTGGTCGAGCTGCTGCTGCAGCGCGGGGCGGACGCCAACTTGCAGAGGAGCGAAGGCGTCACCGCGCTGGTGTGCGCCGCCCAGCAGGGCCATGAGCGAGTGGTCGAGCTGCTGATGCAGCGCGGCGCGGAGGTCAACTTGCAGAGGAGCGAAGGCATCACCGCGCTGATGGTCGCCGCCCAAGGGGGCCACGCGCGGGTGGTCGAGCTGCTGCTGCAGCGCGGCGCGGAGATCAACCTGCAGAACAGCAACGGCGACACCGCGCTGATGGAAGCCGCCGTGTACGGCCGCGAGCGGGTGGTCGAGCTGCTGCTGCAGCGCGGGGCGGAGATCAACTTGCAGGACAGCGACGGCGGCACCGCGCTGATGGTCGCCGCCATCCAAGGTCATCCCGCCGTCGTGCTCCGCTTGCTACTGGCGGGCGCGGATACGACGGCGCGCGATGCGAGCGGCAAGTCCGCGCTGCAGATGGCCAAGGAAAAGGGCCTCGCCGAGTGCGTGCGCGTCCTCGAGGAGCATGCGGCGGCGGCGGCAGAGGCCGAGGCAGCGGCGAGGGAGGCGGAGAGAGCGGCGGCGGAGGCGGATGCGACGCGGCATGCCGAGGCGCTGCTAGCGGAGGAGGAGGCGGAGAAGGAGGCGGGGGGACGCAACAAGGAGATCAAGAAGGGCAAGAAGAAGAAGAAGAAGGGGAAGGGCGGCGGGGGCGGCGCTGGGCTTTCGCGGGAGCATGAGGATGAGGATGAGGCAGCGCTGGCGGCGGGTGAGGAGGCGCAGTTGGCGGCGGCGCTCGAGGAGAGCGCGAGGCTGGAGGAGGAGAGGCGGGCGCCCGACGAGCAAGCGTCGTCCTCTTTGGCTGCAGAGAGGCCGCCTTCGGTGGAGGAGGAGGAGCCGCCGGCCGACTTCGTCTGCCCAATCACGACCGAGGTCATGAGCGACCCGGTGATGGCGGCGGATGGGCAGTCGTACGAGCGGACGGCGATCGAGCGCTGGCTCGCGACCAAGTCGACGAGCCCGCTGACGGGCGAGGAGCTAGAGTTCACTCGGCTCTTCCCAAACCACACACTCCGCCGGGTGATCCGACAGTGGCAAGGAACCGCTCGCAGCTGACACGCTTGTGGCGGGGTCAGCCTGTCACTGCATTGTTGGCGCACCTCTCACCTCTGACCTGACAGAGACGTGTCACTGACAGTCCTTCACCACGTGATTCCAGACACCAGAGCTTTCTGGCGGGTGTGCATTAGTGCAAATAGATGGCCCTCTCTGTGCCTCTCAAAAAGAAATGAGAGGGAGAGATCTGCATCTGTTCTCGTGTCGAGAGATCCCTCATCCCGGCGCTGATTTTTTTTCTGAGAAGCGCGCGCACACGCGCACACACATAAGCGCCGAGACACAGCGTCATCGGGAGTACATGTATTTAGAGCGGCCGTTCAGACCTCAGTCGTGCGTCAGCCTGCCCCTTGCGCGGGAACGTTTTGAGGTGGAAATTGATACCAGCGGCTGGTCGCGAAAGCCAGGCTTGCACCTGCCTTCTCATTCTACCTTGCTCAGAGACCTTAGTGTAATCTGAATAATTGATAACATCACCATGGAGAAGGGTCGAGCAGAGGGCAGAGCCCTGAGCAAGCCCTGTGCACAGTGTCGCAAGATATGGTGGCTAGTTCCATTTCACTCTGACACGCTAATCTTGAAAACGTCCAACGGAGCTCCGTGTTGCTCCCAGCGCCCTCCCCCGCGCTTCCTGCGACCCTAGCCGATGGTACTAGCATGGGAGGTCATCTGGCTACCGCGAGAGCGACCCAACTCGTCGACATCGTCCGATGATTGTGCCTCAAAGTCAGCCTCTGGAGGCTATCGTCGCGTCGAGCCGTCAGTAGCCGTGACATGTGGTTCCACCACCCCTCGTAGGCTTTGCCTCTGACCATCACCGTTCCCAGGCTGCCTAATGGGATGGAAAGGAAGGCTGGGCGAGCGTATAGAAGCGTGCTCGACCTCGTCGTGGCAACCTGTACGGCAGCGCTGGCAGGCGCGATGAGCGTCGTGCCACCTGACCCGAGACGGGTCGCAGGCGTCGTACCGAGCGCGTCGAGACCGTGTCCTGATGTGATCTGTACGGGCGAGTCACGTCGGCGTCAAAGGAGCGACGTGTGACCTGTCAGAGCTTGATCTCCGATCTCAGCGGCGTCGAGTCGTCTCCGGTGCGCAACAAATGTACCTCCCCAGGACGCGCAGACGCAGCTGCGACCCCGCCGAGTGGACGGGCGCACACCGCGCCACCTGCTGTGTGCGCCCGTCTACTCGGCGGGGTCGCAGCTGCCTCTGGAAGGCACCGAGAGGTACAATAGTGCGCAAATGGTCAAAATCAAGGTTTTGTAACGCGAGCTGTGCCACAGTGAAATGGAACTAGCCGGTCGGCTACCCACTCAGCTTTTCTCCGACCTCCGACCTGCAAGACCTGAGCGCTGACAGAGGAGTATCCACTACTGATTACTTTCAAATGCTAATAAAAAATCCCTTTTGCATTTCCCCTGTCGAGATATGCACACTGCTCACTGGCCGTCGTGTAGTGCTGGAGTCAGGAGCGGATCCGTTGCACATAAAGCCGTAGCAAGGACAATGGCCAGGTGTGTGTGCAGCGGACCCCCCCACCCGTAGCAGCCACCGTCGGGCACCCGTGCACGAGGGTGCTTACGAATGGCTGGCGAGCGGCGCGAGCAGTTGCTGCCAGCGGCTCATCACGAGTCGAGTGTATTGCGCGGCCGAGACGCCCGGATACGCGCCCAATCCAAACCCGTCATTGAACTCGACCAGCGCCGTCGGGAGAGAGAGGGACGTACATACACTGAGAGAGAGAGAGAGAGAGAGAGAGAGAGACTGAAGCAGCCAGAAATGGGCTGCGGCACGAGCATGCCGGCCGCCTCCTCTCTCATCCGCCTCCCACCGATCTCGGCGTCGACGAGGAGAAGTTGAAACTGTGGCGTGAAAAGGGCGGCGGCGACCTGGAGCCTGTCCTCGCGAGCGGCGCCGTCGCCCTCCTCGACGCGCGGTGGATCATCAGCCACGCGCCGAGGCGGGCGGCATCCATCCTCGCTCACCGCCAGCCGTTGCACCAGGCCTTCCTCCACCGGAAAGAGGCGTTCCTCTCCCTCGCAGACCTCAGCGAGAGGTGTCCTCGTTGACGGCGCTCGTCTGGCGCAGGTACTTCTCAAAGCAGCGGCCAAGGGTGCTCGTGAAGCAATTGATGGCCTTCTTCTTGAGGTACGAGACGTGACAGCCCTTCTCAAAGACAAAGTCGAGCTCACTCTCAAAGAGGAGCGCAGCCGCTGGCGGCACCATGAGCGTGACGACCAGCAGCACACCAAGCGCCTCCGTCGAGCTGTCAGGCTCCATCTTGAGCGCAATCGACGAGACCAGCGAGAAGAAGAGCGCAACTTGGCAAACCTTTGAGAGCCAGCCATCACTACCCTTGACATATGGCTTGTAGGATGCGTACATGCCGTAGGAAATGAAGCATACAAGCAAGCCGACGATCAGCTGCGCCGAGGAGCCCTGTTCAAGAAAGATTGGCAAGCCGACCAAACATATCTTCCGCACACACTCAAAGACCTCAAACCAGTAGACTCTCATCTCATAGCCACCGGTGAGCCTCGGGAGGCCGCCCTTGCCCAACTTGTCCTTTCTAATCTTCTGGTGCGCCGCCTCACGGAGCTTGGCTCCTGCCCCGTCTTCTGTGTCAGGGAAATTCTTCATAAGCATGCGCTCAAGGCGGTCCACCTCAGCAATAGCGTCGCGGTTTGCGTAAAGGACGGCCGCGTAGAGCACTGGGGTGCCGAGAGGGTAGACGAGGCCCATCAGGATCGCATACGCCATCACACCAATGTATTCCTCGTCCCACGCACCCTTGTTTTGGGCGTAGCACCGCATAGAGTAATCCATGCGCAAGTATGCGCTGCCATCATCCATTTCATCGCACATGAAGGCTTGGAACACTGCGCTGGAACAGCTCGGGTAGACGAGGAATAGTACCACGAACCAACCCGAGGAGAGCATGCCGGCGATCTCCTCCTTTTTGTAGCACCTGAAAACCTTCGAGAAGGCGGCGAGGAGCAAGATCAGGAGCAGAGGCAGGGCCGTGCGAACAACCAACGAACCGAAAAAACCGAAGTTGGCGATGCAGTCGATCGGCATCGCCTGCGCTAAGTCAATCTGGACAATTGATCCAAGGAACCGAAGCACTTTGGCGTATACGTCCGGCCACTGAATGTAGAAGGTGATGCCAATCCCTTGCTGCATCTGGAACTGTGCAATGAGAATCTTCAGCTTGACACCGAAGGCCGAAGACTTTACCGCCAGCCATCGTGCTCGTGCAATTCGTGCTCGTACAATCGTCGATGCTTCCGCAAGCTTCGAGCTCTCCTCAGCAAGGTTGTTCAAGATGTCCATGCCGCGATAGCAGCTGATAACAACGTAAGCAAGCAGGGCAAGCGCCACAACCCCGATTAAGATCATGGGCAGAAACGTGATGGCAGCAATGCCGTCGCACGGCTTGCAGAGCGTGCCGTCGCCGCCGCCAAAGTAGCCGTCGCGGCACACAGCGCAGTAGGGTCCTTGCTGGCTTGGCGCGCAAAAGGCGTCGTCGGAGAGGTTTGTGCCGCCGAGACAAGCCTCCTTAGCGAAGCACGGGCGCACTGACCCGTTGGGCGGCGCCGACCAGGAGTGCTGCCGCCAGTAGCCAGCGGCGACGGGAAGGTTCTGCGGCGTGGTAATGGCAGCTGTGCAATTCATGCCTTCGGAGCACTCGAGGCAGTCCAGAGAGCCCGATGCGTCGTACAACCCTGCGTAGCAGCCACAGTCCTCTTTACCGGTGGCTCCTCGACCATCAGTTGTGGAACCGGGAGGGCAGGGAGTGCCAACGACTGAGCCAGCAGGGCAGTATTCGCCCACCTGGCACAGCTCACAAGAGAGAACGTTGATCGAGTAGCTGCCGGCTCCACAGACCACGCATTTGCTGCCACCCGAGAAAGGCTGGTACCAGCCGGGCTCACAGCTGGCGCATTCGGAGAGACCGCCTGTGGCGGCGACGGTTCCCGGCGAGCACTCTGCCGGCAGAGTTGCGCCGCCGCCGCACGACGAGCCCGCCGGACAGTCGAAGCAGTCGGGCAAACCGTCGCCGTCCGTGAAATTGGCGTATGTACCCGACTCGCACGCCGCAGGCAGCTCGAGTGACGCGCCAACCGGGCAGAAGCTGCCAAGCCCGCACCGGACGCAGCCGGCAGCGCCGGTGGCGTTCTGGTAGGATCCCGCCTTGCACGGCTCGCACTCGGTGTTGCGCGAGCCGGACGCGAATGTGCCGGCCCGGCAAGCCATGGGAGTCACGCTGCCAGTGGTGCAAGCGTGGCCCAAAGGGCAGTCCATGCAGCCGCTCGCCGAGTCAAGATTCGTCTTGTTCGAGTAGCTGCCAGCCTCGCACGGCAGCGCCGCCGCCGCGCCAACAGCGCAGTAGCCGCCCGCCTCGCACGGCTTGCACGCCGTCTGCGCCTCCGCGTCCTGGTACGTGCCGCCGGAACAGGGCGTGCACTCGCCCTGCCTGTAAGCGTTCGTGTACGACCCCTTGGCGCACGCCGTCTGCTGCGTGGAGCCGGTGGTGGCGAAGTGGCCCGGCGAGGCGTCGGTGCACTCGCTCGCGGCGGAGAGGTTGGTGGCGGTCGAGTAGCTGCCAGCCTCGCACGGCAGCGCCGCCGCCGCGCCAACAGCGCAGTAGCCGCCCGCCTCGCACGGCTTGCACGCCGTCTGCGCCTCCGCGTCCTGGTACGTGCCGCCGGAACAGGGCGTGCACTCGCCCTGCCTGTAAGCGTTCGTGTACGACCCCTTGGCGCACGCCGTCTGCTCGGTGGAGCCGGTGGTGGCGAAGTGGCCCGGCGAGGCGTCGGTGCACTCGCTCGCGGCGGAGAGGTTGGTGGCGGTCGAGTAGCTGCCAGCCTCGCACGGCAGCGCCGCCGCCGCGCCAACAGCGCAGTAGCCGCCCGCCTCGCACGGCTTGCACGCCGTCTGCGCCTCCGCGTCCTGGTACGTGCCGCCGGCGCAGGGCGTGCACTCGCCCTGCCTGGTCT